GCATGTGCACACACACCCACGTAGACATATATACACATGTATACGCATATATACATTAGGCATATGTGCGTTTGTATGTACACTTAAAAGCATATGGAAGTCTGGTAGCCGAATGACTCAGGATTGAGATTTTTCTCAGTAGGAAAGTGTGTTTCGACTAACATTGTTATTTCCAAGGATTTGTAGTAGGACAATAGCCTGTATCGCTCACCGTTGTATGGTAACACTGGGCAGAATTTTTTTTTTTTTTTTTTTTTTTTGTAAAACATTATTTTACGCTTTTATAGCAAAACTTTACATTGTAATCAACTATACACCACCTCATACGGTCTCCTGTCAATGAAATAGCAAAGAAAATAGGCAATGGTTAAATTCAGCCGATTGAGCGTTTAGGTATAATGAGAACATCAACAAAAGGAATAAGATTATGAGCAATAATGATAATCGTATTATTTAATTAGTTCTTTCCATACTACCCAAGTCTTGATTATCTAAGAAATTTTACTTCCATTTAAGTCATATTGTAATGCACCTAGAAGTTTAAAATTATATTACAACTTTTCATTGTCAAAATGATGCAGTATCATTTCTGATATCGAATGGAAAAAGTAACGCCAGCTATAACAAACTTTCGTTTTTCCCTGCATCTTACAGGTCAAGGATTCAGTGGTGGACTGTGTCTGCACTATATATACCTGGTTCGCATTAGTTTCTCAGTACTTCTAGCACAAAAATGGCTTTTAAGGTATGTGCCTCTCATGTGGCACTGTGTACATAGCTCTGCCATTATATACGATGTCAAATCTCAATAACTACTTTTAATTTTGAATTATACTTTATTTACAGGTCCTCGTTCTATTCGCCTTTGTGACCGGGGTCTTTGGTAGTTCACTCCCATCCTACACCCCCGCACCATCCTACAATGCCCCAGCTCCTACGGTAACTTCGTGGATATGTACTAAAGATTCTACCATGTATTTTATCATGCAATATTCACATCCTAACATTTCTACAACCTTCTTAATTTCATATCAATCGATTACTGCTATTACAGGGACCAGCTCAGTATGACTTCAATTATGCAGTAAATCATGATTACTCCAATAACGACTTCGGCCATCAAGAAAATCGTAATGGATACGACACTCAAGGAGCCTACTTTGTACTGCTTCCCGACGGCCGTGTACAGAGGGTATCGTACAACGTGAACGGTGACTCTGGATACGTGGCCCAAGTTACTTACGAGGGAGAGGCCCAATACGGCGCTCCAAGACCTTCCACCTCTTACCAGCCTTCTTATGCTTAACCCCATGAATTAGAATATCTTAAGTTTGATAAAATTGAAAAAATAACACATATTTAATAGTTACAATAAAGATCTTGACAAACGAAATTTATTGTCTGCTTGTATCACTTAAAATATTTAGCTAAACCTTAATAAAATGAATTAATGGAAATATTGACCACCTAATTGCACATGCACCTGGATGTTTTAAAATAGTTACGTAAATATTATGCTCTCAGTCTAAGTAACTGAAATAGAACTTAACTGATGCATGTTCTTTTAAGTGAATGTCAACCATACTATATGATAAGCATAGTGTTTAAGAGACATGAAAGCAACAATCCTATAGAATATTTATATCAATGTGTTCATTACAAAAGTTTGAGAACTGTAACGTTTTATTAACACTCACTTCATGTCCCGCATATTATTTTGATTGATTGAGGGAGTGTATCACCGCCTTTCAACTTGCAATATAAAAAGTGTTCTTACAACGGATTTCACCTCCTATTCACTCAACTATATAATTTAGTATATAACCTTTTTAAATAATTATTATGCTTCTTTCCAACTTTGTATGTCTTTCGTCTCTCGCTACATTATCACTCATATTGATTTTATGTATTATAACACACACCTCAATAGATTATTATAATATTCCAGAAAAAAAGAAGGATGACTATCTTTATCTCTTTCATTTGTTTTAGTTGCGTTCACTGGCATTCTTACAAAACAGCTTGTGTCAATTCTAGTGTGTTTACCCGAATCATAGCGTCCCCATCCTTTATATTGTCCATATTTACAGTATAACGATTTACTTCATTCTTTTAACGAAGATACCGGTCCAGGTTTATGCGCTACAGTTAGAAACTGCCTTGTGTGAACTTGGTTCAAATAATTGTGGTTGCTTATTACATTATGATTTTGATCATCATCGCCCTAATCATTTTACCTAGCAGTACTAGCAGTAATGTTAGTAGTGGGGGGGAAACAGGAGAGTTCTAGTTATGATACTGTTGTCGTGGTTCCCATTAGTGAGGTGATGAAAGAAGATTCGTTAATGATGAAGAAATCTGTTTATATGTATGTGAATTATTGTCTGCATTTTTAATAACGCTAATAATGCAACTACTAGTACCTTTACTAGGACAACTAATTATACTAATGATAATGACAATATTAATAGTAATAAAAAAAAATGTTACTACTAATAGTACTAAAGTATATTATAATAATGTTGATTGAAGCAAGGATTAGAACAAAAATGATAACGATGGTAACTTCATTACTGTCATAGTTATTAGATCAGTGTCCTTTTCTTGAATATTAGAGTGTATGGAAATTTCCGACTTTACATTTTAAGCTAGTAATTTGGAATTCTTAATTCTTCTTATCACAATGATTCAGTACCATGTCATATATATGAATGAAAAAAAAGTAATACACCTATAATAACTTTTCGTTTTTCCTGCATCTTAGAGGTCAAGGACTCTGTGGTAAACTGTGCACTATAAAAACCCGGTTCGTATTAGTTTCTCAGCACTTCTAGCACAAGAATGGCGCTTAAGGTATGTGCCTCTCATGTAGAACTGTATACAGAGCTCCGTCGAAAACGGATGAACTATCAAATGTCAATATCAACTTGATTTTCAAATACTCTTTATTTACAGGTTCTCATTCTATCCGCCTTCGTGGTTGGTGTCTTTGGTAGTTCACTACCATCCTATACTCCTGCACCATCCTATCATGCTCATGCTCCCACGGTAAGTTCATGGGCATGTAATGATTCTGATATGTGATTATCATGCAATATTCACATGCTCACATCTATAAAATGTGCTTATTTTTTCATCAATCAATTACTGCTATTGCAGGGACCAGCTCAGTACGACTTTAAATATGCAGTTAATCATGATTACTCCAATAACGACTTCGGCCATCAAGAAAATCGTAATGGATACGACACTCAAGGAGCCTACTTTGTACTGCTTCCCGACGGCCGTGTACAGAGGGTATCGTACAACGTGAACGGCGACTCTGGATACGTTGCCCAAGTTTCGTACGAGGGAGAGGCTCAATACGGCGCCCCAAGACCCACTTCTTACCAGCCTGCTCCTGCTTATGCTTAAACCTATGAATTGGGTTCCTTGAATCTATGAGACTTGAGAATATATTTATTTATTATGGTCACAATAAAGTTCTAATAAATGAAGTCATTTTATCTACATGCCAAATATCAGAAATGTTTTGCATAAAATATACTGAAGGAAACATTCACTGCCTTATTGCACAGGCACTTACATGCTTCAAATTTTCAATAAAATGTTGTGAAGTACAATACTCAACATTTCAATTCAAGTTGCTGAATGAAAACAAATGTAAATTATGTGGATATTGTGAAGTACAAGTTGTTGGATGGAAAATAGTACTAGCTTGAAACATGCTTTATTAATTTTAAGCCCATTTATTATATGAGACTTATACTGCTTAGAGGATTTGAAAAAGACTGTCATCTAGCATTTTTTTTCTTATCTTTTCTGTTTTACGGCAATCAGAAAAAAATATATTTCATTTTACTCGTACTCCTCCTCGCGTCATTCATGCCATGCCATACTGTATGTTCAGTGAGATGGATGCATTCCTACTTCTCACTCTAATCGCTATACTTTGCAACATTATGTTAGACATTATTTTATGCAACTAATCGTATTGTTTTACATTTACACTTATAAGATTTGCATACATTATTACTGCAGTTGGTTCGTCTGCCGTTATTACCAAATTACCTTCTTCATTACAATTACTAGTACTAGCATTAATATTAGTATAATAGAATCAGGAGGAATAGCTATTGCATTTTCATTTATATCAAAATCCTTATAGATTATTGAAACTAATGTTATAATGTCGGTGCCTTCCTTTTTCTAAGGTGGTGAAAGGAAAATGACATACGTGTTTGTACGTATATTCATTGCAATAAATTGTTATATTTACTTTGATTTGTATTACTGGTATTGTTGTTGCTATAATTATTTGCTTTATCAATTTTTGCCTGATTTTTTAAATGTAATTATCACAGTCCTGTTAATATTATAACTGATATATTTATCAAAGTTATCAACTCAGTAGTGTCATTGCTATCATTATCATTATTTTCAAAATTACCTTCGCCTGATTTACTTCATTATTATTATCAATAAAACTGATGATAATGATAACTGAAATAATGGTATTATTAATATTATTGTTGTTGTTGCTATCATCACTTTTATTTTCTTATTATTATTATCATTATTATTATTATTATTGATGTAATTTATAATTTGAAAATTATAATTAGAATGAAACTGGTGATAAAAAATATTACTGTTATTAATATTATTTTTATTAACATTTATTATTATATTTATGATTTTAAATGTAAGTCATAACAATGAAAACACTAATAATAATGATAAAAGGAAACACTGTAATAATAATGATGATATAAAATGTGGTTGCCTATTACATTATTGTACAGGCACAAGTTTCGTATGAGGGAGAGGCTCAATACGGCGCCTCAAGACTTTCCACTTCTTACCAGCCAGCTCCTGCTTATGCTTAAGCCTATGAATTGGGTTCCCTGAATGTATGAGAGTTGACAATATATTTATTTATTATGGTCACAATAAAGTTCTGATAAATGAAGTCATTTTATCTACATGCCAAATATCAGAAATATTTTACATGAAATAAACTGAATGAAACATTCATTACCTTATTGTACAGGCACAAGTTTCGTATGAGGGAGAGGCTCAATACGGCGCCTCAAGACTTTCCACTTCTTACCAGCCAGCTCCTGCTTATGCTTAAGCCTATGAATTGGGTTCCCTGAATGTATGAGAGTTGACAATATATTTATTTATTATGGTCACAATAAAGTTCTGATAAATGAAGTCATTTTATCTACATGCCAAATATCAGAAATATTTTACATGAAATAAACTGAATGAAACATTCATTACCTTATTGTACAGGCACAAGTTTCGTACGAAGGAGAGGCTCAATACGGCGCCCCAAGACCTTCCACTTCTTACCAGCCTGCTCCTGGTTATGCTTAAGCCTATGAATTGGGTTCCCTGAATGTATGAGAGTTGACAATATATTTATTTATTATGGTCACAATAAAGTTCTGATAAATGAAGTCATTTTATCTACATGCCAAATATCAGAAATATTTTACATGAAATAAACTGAATGAAACATTCATTACCTTATTGTACAGGCACAAGTTTCGTACGAGGGAGAGGCTCAATACGGCGCCCCAAGACCTTCCACTTCTTACCAGCCTGCTCCTGGCTTATGCTTAAGCCTATGAATTGGGTTCCCTGAATGTATGAGAGTTGACAATATATTTATTTATTATGGTCACAATAAAGTTCTGATAAATGAAGTCATTTTATCTACATGCCAAATATCAGAAATATTTTACATGAAATAAACTGAATGAAACATTCATTACCTTATTGTACAGGCACAAGTTTCGTATGAGGGAGAGGCTCAATACGGCGCCTCAAGACTTTCCACTTCTACCAGCCAGCTCCTGCTTATGCTTAAGCCTATGAATTGGGTTCCCTGAATGCTATGAGTAGTTGACAATATATTTATTCATTATGGTCACAATAAAGTTCTGATAAATGAAGTCATTTTATCTACATGCCAAATATCAGAAATATTTTACATGAAATAAACTGAATGAAACATTCATTACCTTATTGTACAGGCCCAAGTTTCGTACGAGGGTGAGGCTCAATACGGCGCCCCAAGACCTTCCACTTCTTACCAGCCTGCTCCTGGTTATGCTTAAGCCTATGAATTGGGTTCCCTGAATGTATGAGAGTTGACAATATATTTATTTATTATGGTCACAATAAAGTTCTGATAAATGAAGTCATTTTATCTACATGCCAAATATCAGAAATATTTTACATGAAATAAACTGAATGAAACATTCATTACCTTATTGTACAGGCACAAGTTTCGTATGAGGGAGAGGCTCAATACGGCGCCTCAAGACTTTCCACTTCTTACCAGCCAGCTCCTGCTTATGTTTAAGCCTATGAATTGGTTTCCCTGAATCTATGAGTATTGACCATGTATTTATTCATTATGGTCACAATGAAGTTCTAATAAATGAAGTCAGTTTATCTTCATGTCTAATATCAATATTTTGCATAAAATAACCTGAAGAAAACATTTACTACTTTATTGCATGCCACAAATTTCCATTAAAATGTTGTGAGATACAAGAATCAACATTTCAATTCAAGCTACTGAATGAAATAATACGAATCATTTGGATGTTGTGAAGTACAAGAATCAACATTTCAATTCAAGTTGCTAAAAAAAAGATAGAATATGAATCATTTGGATATTGTGAAGTACAAGAATCAACATTTCAATTCAAGCTACTGAATGAAAAAATATGAATCATTTGGATGTTGTGAAGTACAAGAATCAACATTTCAATTCAAGCTACTGAATGAAAAAATATGAATCATTTGGATGTTGTGAAGTACAAGAATCAACATTTCAATTCAAGCTACTGAATGAAAAAATATGAATCATTTGGATGTTGTGAAGTACAAGAATCAACATTTCAATTCAAGCTACTGAATGAAAAAATATGAATCATTTGGATGTTGTGAAGTACAAGAATCAACATTTCAATTCAAGCTACTGAATGAAAAAATATGAATCATTTGGATGTTGTGAAGTACAAGAATCAACATTTCAATTCAAGCTACTGAATGAAAAAATATGAATCATTTGGATGTTGTGAAGTACAAGAATCAACATTTCAATTCAAGCTACTGAATGAAAAAATATGAATCATTTGGATGTTGTGAAATACAAGAATCAACATTTCAATTCAAGCTACTGAATGAAAAAATATGAATCATTTGGATGTTGTGAAGTACAAGAATCAACATTTCAATTCAAGTTGCTAAAAAAAAAGATAGTATATGAATCATTTGGATGTTGTGAAATACAAGAATCAACATTTCAATTCAAGCTACTGAATGAAAAAATATGAATCATTTGGATGTTGTGAAGTACAAGAATCAACATTTCAATTCAAGTTGCTAAAAAAAAGATAGTATATGAATCATTTGGATATTGTGAAGTACAACAATCGATATTATTTTAATCCAAGTTGCTTGATGGAAAATAGTACTGACTTGAGACATGCTTTCCTCACTGTAGGCCCACTTGTTATGTGAGACTTAAATTGCATTGAAGATTTGAAAACGACTATCGTGTTTTCTTCTTTTTACGGCAATCAAAAAAATAAATTTGATTATACACGTACTCACCTCGCGTCATTCTTGTCATGTCATACTGTATGTTCAGTGAGCGAGCTACATTATCACTCATATTGATTATATTTATTATTCTATACAATGCCTTATGTCTGTTTTTACAACATATGTTCCTATAGAATATTATAACCTTCCAGAAAAAAAACTAGTAGTATTAATATCTGCATTTCTTTAGCAGTTAATTTGTTTTAGTTTTAGTTATGTTCATTGGCATTCCTTTATAACAGCTTGTGTGAATTCTAGTGTTTACCCGAATCATAGCGTCTTCATCCTTTATATTGTCTATATTTGCAGTATAACGGTTTACTTTATTCCTTTGACGAAGATACCGGTCCCATAGACGCAGTCAGGATTACGCGCTACAGTTAGAAACTGCCTTGTATGAATTTGGATCAAGTAAATATGGTTGCTTATTACATTATGATTTTAATCATCATCGTCCTAATCATTTTAATTAGCATTAATATTAGTAGTGGTGGAGAAACAGGAGAGAGTTATAGTTATAATACTGTTGCTGTGGTTCCCTTTTCTAAGGTGGTGAAAGGAGACTAATTAATGATAAAGAAACATGTTAATACGTATATGAATTGTAAATTATCTTTATCAAAATTACTTTACTGTCTGCGTTATCAATAACGCTGATAATGCAACGACTACTGCTGCTGGTGCAACTACTAGTACCTCTATTTGTACTACTAATTATACTAGTGATAATGACAATATTGATAGTAACTATAAGAATATTGCAAATAACAGTAACAATAATTATTATGTAGATTAAAGCTAGGGTTAGAACAAAGATGATAACGATGGTATCTTAATTGTCATAGTTATTAGTTCAGTGTCCTATTCTCGAATATCAGAGTGTATGGAAATTTCCGACTTTACATTTAAAGCTTTTCTTCGTTTATCACAATGCTATATATGTGAATGGAAAAAAGTAATACACCTATAACTTTTCATTTTTCCTACAACTTAGAGGTCAAGGACTCTGTGGTGAACTGTGCACTATAAAGTCTTGGTTCGTCTTAGTTTCTCAGCACTTCTAGCACAAGAATGGCGCTTAAGGTAGGTGCCTCTCATGTAGAACTGTATACATAGCTCCGTCGAAAACAGATGAAATATCAAATGTCAATATCAACTTATGATTTTCAAAGACTCTATTTACAGGTTCTCATTCTATCCGCCTTCGTGGTTGGTGTCTTTGGTAGTTCACTACTATCCTATACTCCTGCACCATCCTATAATGCACATGCTCCCACGGTAAGTTTATGGGCATGTAATGATTCTATGTGATTATCATACAATATTCACATGCTTACATCAATAAAATGTACTTAATTCTTCACCAGTCGATTACTGCTATTACAGGGACCAGCTCAGTACGACTTCAACTATGCAGTGAATCATGATTACTCCAATAACGACTTCGGCCATCAAGAAAATCGTAATGGATACGACACTCAAGGAGCCTACTTTGTACTACTTCCCGACGGCCGTCAACAGAGGGTATCGTACAATGTGAACGGCGACTCTGGTTACGTTGCCCAAGTTTCGTACGAGGGAGAGGCTCAATACAGCGCCCCAAGACCTTCCACTTCTTACCAGCCTGCTCCTGCTTATGCTTAAACCTATGAATTGGGTTCCTTGAATCTATGAGACTTGACAATGCATTTATTTATTATGGTCACAATAAAGTTCTAATACATTAAGTCATTTTATCGACCTGCCAAATATCAGAAATCTTTTAGATAAAATAAACTGAAGGAAACTGCCTTATTGCACAGGCACTTACATGTTACAAATTTTCAATAAAATGTTGTGAAGCACAAGAATCAACATTCAAATTCAAGTTGCTGAATGAAAAAAAAGAACATGAACCATTTGGATTTTGTGAAGTACAAGAATCAATATTATTTTAATCCAAGTTGCTGGATGGAAAATGGTACTAGCTTGAGACATGCTTTTTTAATTGTAAGCCCATTTATTATAAGACTTATACTGCTTAGAGGATTTGAAAACGACTATGATCAAACTTTTTTTTTTCTTATCTTTTCTTTTTTTATGGCAATCAGAAATATATAAATTGCGTCATTCATGCCATGCCATGCTGTATGTTCAGTGAGATGGATGCATTCCCGCTTCTCTCTCTAATCGCTTTACTTTCCAACAGTATGTTAGTCATTATTTTATGGAGCTAACCGTATTGTTTTACATTTTTACTTCTAAGATTTGCATACATTATTATTGCGGTTATCCTTTTCATTACAATTACTAGTAATAACATTAACCCATTCACGCCGGGTGTCACGTATACGTGACGGGCCTACTGTGAGTTTACTTGTTTGATTGTTTATAAACATAGATGGCTCCACTTGCACTTGTATTGCCTGTCTCGTCTGTTTACCCTTTTCTTTAATTTACGAAATTATTTTGCGTTATCTTATTTTGCTGTTACTAATGTTTATAACATTATAGTAATTATAATGTTTATAATAAAAATAACCATCGATATTCATAGCACTAGTAAAAATACATTTTCCCACCAAATGAAATCCGGTAAAGCAGAGCCATCTAGTGTAGAGAAATTTCATTAAAAAATATAAAAAATGAGCACAGGATTTCCCCCATTTTTTGTTCATTTTTACCCGGCGCGAATGGGTTAATATTAGTATAACAGAATCAGGAATAGTTATAGCATTTTCATTTTTATCAAAATCTTTATAGGTTATTAAAACTAATGTTATTACTGTCGGTGCCTTCCTGTTTCTAAGGTGGTGAAAGGAAAATGACAAACATGTTTATACGTATATGCGTTGTAATAAATTATAATTATTTCGATTAGCATTATTGGTATTGTTGCTATAATCATTTACATTATCAATTTTATGCCTGATTTTTGAAAAAGTAATTATCAGTCCTGTTAACATTATAACCGATATATTTATCATAGTTATCAATCTCAGTAGTGTCATTGCTATCATTATCATAGTCGTCAAAATTACCTTCGTCAGATTTACTTTAATATTAATAACGCTGATGAACATGATAATAACAGAAATAATGGTATTTTTATTACTGTTGTTACTGTTACCATCACTTTTATCTTTTTCATTACTATTATTATTATTACTATTATTCATGTTATTTATAATAAAAAAATAACTAGAATGAAAATGGCGATAAAAAATATATATATATTGTTATTGATATTATTATTATTATTATTATCATTATTGTTATATTTATGATTTTAAATGTAAGTCATAAAAATGAAAACACTAACAATAATGATGATAAAAAACATAATAATAATAATGATGATAATAAATGTGGTTGCCTATTACATTATAATATTGATCATCATCGTCCTAATCATTTACTTGGCAGTACCAGCAGTAATGTTAGTAGTGATGGGGATACAGAAGAGTGCGTTGCAGTTGTGTTATTTTCATTTCCATTATCGCTATAAGCCTTTATACAACTGCTGTGGCTCCCTTTACTTAGATGTAATGAAAAAGAAATCTGTTAATACGTATATGAATTGTAAATAATTTTAATCAAAATTATTTTATTATCTATGTTATTAATAATGATAATGATGTTATTACTGTTATGTAATTAGTACTATTATTCGTACCTTTATTTGTACTACTAATTAAAGTATTTTCATAACTGCCATAGTTATTAGTTCAGTGTTCAGTTCTCAAGTATTAGACTGCATGGAAATTTCTTAAGTTAGCAATTTGAAATTAGTTTAACTCTTTATCTTCGTTTATCATAAAAAAATAATACTGTTTCTTATATGCGAACAGAAAGGGTAATGCACCTATAATAAACTTTCGTTTCCTGCATCTAAGAGGTCAAGGATTCTGTGGTGAACTGTGTCTGCACTATAAATACCTGGTTCGCATTGGTTTCTCACCACTTCTAGCACAAAAATGGCTCTTAAGGTATGTGCTCTCAAGTAACATTGTGGATATAGCTCAGCCAGAATAGATGTTTTATCAAATCTCAATATCAACTTATAATTTCGAAATATTCTTTTATTGCAGATTCTTGTTCTATTTGCCTTCGTGGTTGGTGTCTTTGGTAGTTCATTACCATCCTACACTCCTGCACCATCCTATCATGCTCCGGCTCCCACGGTAAGTTCATGGGCATGTAATGATTCTGCTATGTGATTACCATGCAATATCCACATGCTCACATCTATAGAATGCGCTTAATTCTTCATCAAACAATCACTGCTATTACAGGGACCAGCTCAGTACGACTTTAACTATGCAGTGAATCATGATTACTCCAATAACGACTTCGGCCATCAAGAAAATCGTAATGGATACGACACTCAAGGAGCCTACTTTGTACTGCTTCCCGACGGCCGCGTACAGAGGGTATCGTACAACGTGAACGGCGACTCTGGATACGTTGCCCAAGTTTCGTACGAGGGAGAGGCTCAATACGGCGCCCCAAGACCTTCCACTTCTTACCAGCCTGCTCCTACTTATGCTTAAACCGGAGTTGACAATATGATATTTATTTATTATGGTCACAATAAAGTTCTAATAAATGAAGTCATTTTATCTGCATGCCAAATATCAGAAATGTTTCATAAATAAAAATACTGAAGGTGATACGTACTTCCGTATTGCACAGGCACTTGCATGTTACAAAAAATCATTTGGATGTTGTAAAGTTCAAGAATCAATATTATTTCAATTCAAGTGGTTGAATGGAATATAATACTAGTTTGAGACCTGCTTTCAATAGTGTATATCCACTTACATAATTATACTGCTTAGGGAATTTGATAACGACTGTCGTCTAGCATTTATGATTTTCTTCTTTTATAAAAGCGATTAGAAGCATATGTATTAACTTTAACTTAACGCGCGTCATTTATGCCATGGCATATTAATGTTAAGTGAGATGAATACATGACCAATCCTCTCTCTCTCTCTCTCTCTCTCTCTCTCTCTCTCTCTCTCTCTCTCTCTCTCTCTCTCTCTCTCTCTCTCTCTCTCTCTCTCTCTCTCTTTCTCCCTCTCTCTGCTTCTTCATCTATTTACACTTACGTCTCTCTCCGATCGCTTTACTTTGCAACATCATGTTAGTTGTTGCTTTACGCAGCTAATCTGTTTGATTTGCATTAAAGATTGTTCCAGTTTTCTGAAAAACTTAGCTGGTATCCATCTCTATGAATTTCATTTGTAACAAATACGGTAACAGCGATGTAAACTGGCATTATTTAACATTAAAACACGTAAAATTGTGTGTACGTTCTATTATTAGTGCCTCCATTTTTCTTCTTGTTTAGGTTTCAGGTATAACAAGTTTCAACAGGTTTCAGGTTCAAAAAGAAATGCCTATTCCATGAAAAAAGATCCCGGTCACATGGTCGAAGCTAGTTTTAGTCGCTGCTGGATATTGATTTATACTGTGTTTATATATGAATACATTATTACGGCGGTTGGTTCGTCCGTCGCCATTTTATAGTTACAATTATTATCATCACCCTCATCATTACACTTACTAGTATTAAAAGTAATGTTTGTGCTAGCAGAACCAGGAGAAATAGTCATAGCAATTTAATTTCAATTAACATCCCTCTACGCCTTTAAAGCTATTGTTATTACTATCGGTGTCCTTCCCGTCACTAGGATGGTGAAAGGACAATGATAAAGAAAAACGTTTATACGTATATTCATTGTAATAAATACTTATAGTTTTTAATAATTGCATTATTGCTATTGTTGTTGCTCTAATTATCATCAGTAACAGTTTTGTCCATGTTCTTTTAATATGATTATCCATTTTCTGTAAAGATTATAACTAATATATTTTCTAAAATTATCATGTCATCGCTATCATCATCATTGTTGTCAAAATTACTATCAGAATTATTATTTCTTTATTAGTATTAGTAGCATGATCGTCATGATGATGATCCATCATGATGTTTCATAAAGTTACGACATTGGTCATCATCATGATCATGCCACTAATACTAATAAAGAAATAATAATTCTGATGATAGTACTAATAGTAATGATACTACTAATAATTATAACAGCAACAATAGAAATGAATAAGAGCACAAACACTATCGATAATGGTAATATTTCATCTGTTTTTACCATATTATCCAGTTCATGATTATTAAGTACATGGAAATTTTACTTTCATTTACAGTGTATTCTAATATAACTAACAGTTTAAAATCATATTGAAACTTTTCACCATTTGTCACAGTGACAATAACAAAAATTATATTCTTATATGTGATTGGAAAAAGTAACGGAACCTATAGCAAACTTTCGTTTTTTCTCTACCTTATAAGTCAAGGATTCTATGGTAGACTGTCTGCATTATAAAAAACTTGGTTCGCATTAGTTTCTCAGCACTTCTAGCACAAAAATTGCTCTGAGAGTATGTGCCTTTCATGTGGCATAGCTCCGCCATGATAAGTGATCTATCAAATCTCAATATCAACTTATGATTTTGAAATATTCTTTAATTACAGGTTCTCGTTCTAGCCGCCTTCGTGGTCGGTATCTTTGGTAGTTCACTCTCATCCTACACCCCCGCACCATCCAATAATGCCCCTGCTCCCATAGTAAGTTCATGGGTATGTAATGAATATTCTATCATTTATTTTGTCATGCAATATTCACGTACTCTCTTAAATCTACATCATTTGATAACTGCTAATTAACTAATTAGAATTATCTGCCGCATCAAATGCTAAGGTCATTAGCGTCGAATTTCTTGTGGGATGAAAATCTTGAAATATTCAAGACGATTGAAAATTTATTGATAAATAAAGTTTTATAAAGCAAATTAAAAAAATACATATATACATATATAAAATGAAAGGATAAGTATTATGCTTGAAAAGTATAAAATTATTGCATTAATATTTTGTTTAAGATATTAGTCTCCCATAGGAAACAAATATGACCTATATCACAATCCCTCCCAATACATTTTTCAATTTATGAGGAGACTAGTATATATGCCTATAATCTGAGAATGCTGCATATTTATTCGATAATGGCTCTTGGCATCCCTCACAGTGTACTGCTATTGCAGGGACCAGCTCAGTACGATTTCAACTATGCATTGAATCATGATTACTCCAATAACGACTTCGGCCATCAAGAAAATCATAATGGATACAACACTCAAGGAGCTTATTTTGCACTGTTTCCCGACGGTCGTGTACAGAGGGTATCGTACACCGTAAACGGCGACTCAGGATACGTGGCCCAAGTTACTTACGAGGGAGAGGCCCAATACGGTGTCCCAAGACCTTCCACCTCTTACCAGCCTGTTCCTACTTATACTTAATTTCATGGTTTATGTTATTTTAAACTGATAAGAAATTAAAATATTTTTCTAATTGAAATTCTAATTAAGATTTTAACAAATGTATTTATTTAGTTACCTGTACATATGATAAAATATGTAATAATAATCAATTTCTTTAGGTATGTATTTGGCCTAAATATAAACACACTGAAGGTTCCTGTAGGAAGTCAGTCTCAACAAAGTATCGCTGTTCCAACTCCCGTAAAGGTAAAAAATGTTCCTGTTCCATCTTCCGAGAAAGGAGGGAACGTTGCTGAAAAGCAACAGAAAGTTCTTTCCTCAAGAGTTCTAGTGAAAGGAAAACGGGTTTCTAAAAAAGCTAATTGAAATAAGATATTCAAAAGAAATAGTACCTACTATAGTGATGAAGCATTTTGTTTAACAAAGTGCCAATTGCTTGTCAGGAAGTAGACAGAAATACATATCAAAGTATCAATGCCAAGTGGCTAGCAGGAAAATTATGTTAGCTGGATATACATTCCTTTCATTGTATAATTACTTTCAAATCATATTCGAAATATCCCATTGCTTTTTATTAACTAATTTGACGTCAGAGAAATGAAATATCTGGTGACAGTCACCGTACATGACAGGGTACAGCATAGGAGGTGGATACTCTCTGTACTCGTTAAACGTTAAATCGTTAAAGAATGAAGAGGGAAAGGAAGTAATGCGTTTACGACATTGGTCACTAAAGAGAAATGAACACGTTTTTCGAGCAATAAGGTCAAACAATCCATTTGATATCCTCTGCACCATACTATATATGTGTATATGTATATGTGTGTGTGCGTGCGGGCGTGTGCATGTGCATGTGGTCGTGCGTGCGCGTGTATTCACTATATCTAAATATATGCATTATGCATAAGCGTGTGTGTGTGTGTGTTTGTGTGTGTATTCATATCTAAATATATGCATTATGCATAAACATGTGTGTGTATGTGTAAGTGTGTGTGTGTGTGTGTGTGAGCATATAATAGGATTGGTATAGTATAGTTGTGTCACTCGCGTCTTATGTTTATATCAAATGTATTTGTAAATACGTGGTCAAATTCAATGTTTAATATACCATGCTGCACGATGTGCGTGCGCGCGTACATAAGTACGTCTATTGTGTTTGTGATATACGCGGTGTACACATTCCAATATCATAATCTGCGATTATATCAAAACGATACTTTTGGAGATTAGATTCATTATATCTAATGCCTTTAAAATTGCCGATTGCTATTCATCTATGTGATTGAATTTAAAATCGAAATCGAGTGATTTAGAAGCTACTAATTTTCATAGCTTCATGTATTCATACATATATAATATATATATATATGTGTGTGTGTGCGTGCGTGCGTGTGTGTGTGTGTGTGTGTGTGTGTGTGCGTGTGTGTGTGTGTGTGTGTGTCTGGTATGTGTGTGTGTGCGTGTGTGTGTGTGTGTGCGTGTGTGTGTGTGTGTGTGTATGTATGTACATACACACACACATATATATATGAATATATATATATATATATATATATATATATATATATATATATATATATATATATATGAATATACATGTGTATGTATGTACATACACACACACATATATATATGAATATATATATATATATATATATATATATATATATATATATATATATATATATGAATATACATGTGTATGTATGTACATATCTATATGTGTGTGTATATATATGTATATATGTATATATATATATATATATATATATATATATATATATATATATGTATATATATATATATATATATATATATATATATATATATATATATGTATGTATATATATATATATATATATATATATATATATATATATATATATATATATACATGTATATATACACACACACACGCATATATATACATACATGAATATACATGTGTATGTATGTACATATCTATATGTGTGTGTATATATATGTATATATGTATATATATATATATATATATATATATATATATATATATATATATATATATATATATATATATATATATATATATATACATATATATACGCACACACACACATATACATATATATATATATATATATATATATATATATATATATATATATATATATATATATATATATATGATGATGATATATATATATAGACAGATATAGATATAGATATAGATTATCTCTCCAAAAAGCGAAAAATTAATCAACGTGTTAAGAGGAGGCGTTGCGGGGAAGGGCGAGGCGTTCCAGCCAGTTCTGCACGATCATTACCTCGTGGTTGCATTAGTTTTTACTTTATTTTTTTCAGACCTTCCTTTTAGAGATTTTCTTGCAATTTGTTTAAACTTTAATTCAGCGCTTGTGTGCCCCTTGTGGAATTGCACATATTTAAAGTCCTGGTTATTATGTAAGTTTTGAAAAATCTGTTCCTCTTAATGAACCGTGAAGATAGTAAGCTCTTTCTTATAATCGTTTGCCATTATCAC